TTTGGTGCAATAAGTTGTATTTGAAATATATAATGAACAGTGTCTTACATGAATTCACTCACAACAACTATTTTTATGATTTTCATCATACATTTTATACATATTTTAAAAAAATATATAGAATCGTTGACAGCTAAATCCAACATAATTACAAGTCGTTTGTAGACATGAAATGATTCATTCAACACTGAATTCGAAACAAGTCTTGACATCAAGTGACTCGTTTTCCAGTTCTTGAGAGCTTGAGTAATGTAATCATGGTGAAACCAAAAAGCACGTTTTATACTACTATCTTTCACGTTTCTCATTTTCGATAAGTAATTGAACGGATTTCCAAATTTTTGTATTTTATCAATGTTGACTATTAATTCCTACTCAAAGCTATTATAATATAATGATGAACTTTCTTTTGCCAATGAGAAACCAATACGTAAGTCGTCAGCCATATTGGTTCCATTACTCTTATTTTTGCCAATGGAGTGAACAATGCATTTTAGATACTCTTTACTTTGCCACGAGGATCAGTAAAATTTTTGTTTATCAAAGCCTGATATTGCTGGCTCCATTCCAACTTTGAATAAATCTTTCTTATTCGATAAATAATTTTAAAAAAATAATCCAAAAGAAATGAAAAGAGCAAATCGTTTATAAAACTTATGATGAAAGTTGGTAATAGTCACACTTTTTTAGTTTAAAAGACTATTTTACTGCGTCATAAACAATATTTTCATTTTTGTTAGATCAAAGATTTTAATCGACACATACATGACATTTGAAGAGAACAGGAACAATTATACACTTGATAAATAATTCAATTCTTCAGATACAAGAAGACGTCATCAAACTGTTGCAAAGATAAGGGCAAAAGACATGAAATCAGTAATTTAGTCACATTAAATAAATTGTTTTTTGGAAATTCTTAAAAATGTCACGCGTGTAAATTTTCCGTATAGATAAATAAATACTTTTGATATTTTCAATTTCGTTAGCTAGATTGCTTACTGGATTATATAAGTTTCCTTCCATTGAATAGGCATTCTTCTAGATAGCAAATATTAATCACATATTTAAAAATTTCCCAATGAAAATCGTGTATCAATATCGTGTATCAATATCGTGTATTAGTTTAAGATAAGTTTAAGATAATCTCGAAATATGTAAATGAAAAAGCGAACCATTGGCGCACAGTCGCCAACTTTCAACAAGTTGAGTAATATTTGCTGGTATTTTTCTCGAACAGTTTTTAAAGAATGTAGCACTCAAATCACATTAAAACATGAAACTTAATTTTTTTCCTATTTATGTTTTAAGCACAAATATTAAATATTTATACAATTTATATAAATTTAATTTGAAGTCTTGAATATATCGGAGAAGGCCAAATCGATACACTTTATCTTTAATTCTGATATTAAAAGCAGATTATTATTATATAAATAGAAAATAATATAGTTTAAAAGTTAGTCATCTGAAGAATATAACAATTGCATGAAGGAACTTGAACAATATATTTGGTAAAAAATTACTAATGTAACTGTTAATTTTTTTCAATATGTTATTTAAAGACAAATTTGTAATCATTGTTGAATGCATTTTTGTTTGCATTTATAGCACGCAACACACACACTCACATCTGCATGGACATGTGCACATATACGCAGTTTTCTCCAAAATAAAGAATAATCGGCAAATGTATATATTTTGAAGAAATCAAACCTAAAACTAAACAATGTGAAAACTGAAAATTTCAACAAAAAGCAAATGATAATTGCTAAAACCACATGAGCAATCACATCGTAAAAATTAAATATTTCGTACTATTCAGTAAACCAACAGTTGACAATGCTCGAATTCGTAATTTATTATTAATTTTTCTTTCTTTTTAAGTCTAGGACGCTTCTAACAATAAAAACAAATTTATATTCAAGAATCATCGAATCTTACTTACCACGAGAATGAAATTGATCAATTCTCACTGAATGCAGATATTTATTTTGATGACAATTTAAAAAAAAAATCATTGAAAGTAGATTTAAAGTAAATTTACTCAGAAATCAGAGCAAATAGAACTTATTCGTACATGTCAGAACATCATATCGAATGTGAAATAAAATATTAGAAATCAAATTAAAAATATTTCACAACTTTATGTAAATTTACAATCTTCTCGAACAACAAATTATTTGGTTTCTATTCAAAGATCGATATAATTTATTTTTCTTTCATTATATATTTTCAAATGTATAAAAAAAGAATTTACTTACTAAAATGATTTTCGTAAGCCGAAGCGTTTCTGATAAAAATTCAAAGATTTCGTTAAATGTTTTAATTTATATTATTCAATTTACCAATATACAAAAAAAGGTGTTTGTGTATAAAGTAAAAATTTAGAATTTAATTGAAAACTAGTAAAGAAATTTATGGAGAACATTTATTTTACATTTTTCGATCGAAAGTAATGAAAACGAAAAATAAATAACTCCACTCAAATATGTTAAATTTATGTTTCATTAGCGTATTTTTACTTTTAAAAATGTTTTAATACACACACGCGCGTGCGTGGGCGCACACACACATGCATATACACACTCACACACATACAGACACACACACGTATTATATATATATATATATATATAATATATATAAACAAAGTACATTTTGTAATTTTAATTCATTTATTGATATTGTGTTTCCATACTAAACACCATCATTGGTTTACACAAGGGTTTATTATAATTTTATTTTTTTAAATAAATAAATGTTAAACATAGTTTTAATATCTTTAGTGCCTCGATTTAGTGACCTGAATGAGTTTATTTCTTTATTATGACTAATCTTCATTATATATATATATATATATATATATATATATATATATATATATATATATATATATATATATCCATGTTAGCTGGTATTATTTTTTATCTTCTTTTGTTATTTTAGATTTCGAAAAGTGAAAAATGAACATTAGATGATCGAAAAATATCATTGAAATTAAATGGTAATTCCATGCACGAGAAAGACATACCTACACAATAATTTTTTAAATAAATAAAACATAGAAATGTTCACTTGAGAACATAAATATTTATGAAAATGTATATTTGCTTCCTTAAAATATAGTAAAACTAACAAATCTATATGCATATACTTAGGCCAACTTGATATATATATACACACTATAATTATTATATGTAAACATAAATTTAGACATTCTCGAGTCACTCGTGATGATTTCAGTCAAACTTTACTCAGATCTCTTGAGTAGCAAAAAGAAAGAATAAATTAATCAAAGGAAAACAATGCCAGCAAGATTTTAACCATAAAAAGTACACGAAATATGTTTGTTTTTTTTTTCTTTTTAAGTCTTGTTAGATTTAAAGTTAAAAAGACACGAGTGAAAAAAAAATAATTGAAGATATTTTTAATGAAAAAATTGACTTCCATTTGCCACAAAACTTGAGAATGCATGTAGTTTTATAAGTTTAGAATCAGTCTTGGAATTTGGGATTATAAGTAAGTAGATATACACATGTATTTTAACGTTATTTTATATGCATATATGCCTCACATCGAGCAACAACTTGTACATGCATATGGTGCAGATGTGTGTGTGTGTATGTGTGAATGTGAACATCATCTCGGCTTCGATACAAAATACATGCACGCTCTGAACGCTATTATATGAACAAATTCTCGTTTTATGTTTTAAAATGTGCTTCTTTTAACAGTAAACTCTTGTTTGTCATTTACACTTACTGAAATACTGATTTTTCTGTTACATATTGTTTTTTCTAATTGCAGCCCCCAGTTATTCAACTGGGAAGGAGGTTAATTTGTATATATTTCGACAATCAGCTTCACACACACGCACATACAGGTGCGCGTGCATGCACACAGTAAAACAGATATATATATACCTGCATCATCCTCACTTGTCGAACAGAATAATTTTGAAAATATGAAAAAACTTCCAGAATGAAGAGTGAAAATGCCAAAATTAATAATAATCACCAAACTTAATGCCTATAAGAACGTTTTGGAAAATTATTTTTATACATTATATGTTTAGGTGTAGTAAAGGGGTGCTATGTGGGTGCGTGTCCACCTGAGTATGTATTCTCACACAGGACTATCTAGGTTTAGAAAAATCTCATTGTATATGGAAAGAATAGATTAATAATGGCAGCATAAATCAGCTCTTCAAATTTCCTTCTTGTTTTCTTTAATTCTCATTATTTTACCCAGTTATATTATTTTGTCTTCTTGCACCGACATAGTATCTTTGCTTCATTATATTTCATACCTAAATTCTGTTACTACCCCAACCTCTAAATCGTTTAGGTATTTTGGTTAGTGTTAAATGTAAATACATAAAAAATGGAAAACATTTTTCGATCCCTATTAGTTCAAAAAGGTATACCATTTTTTTAACATGCAACATTGCATGATCAATCTCAACAGAAAATTAAATTATACACAGGAAACGTTTTGATAAAATATCATCAATCTTAATCGTTGGAGATAAACGCTCTTCAGATTCTGTGTATATGCAGCATCAATTTTTAAACATGTTTTTAAATTAGGAATTTAACTAGTTCATGCAATAATAATTTCCACATGAGTTTGGATTGAAATAAAGAGTCGAATATAAAAAAAAACAACAAAAGATTTAAAAATTTATGAATAGTTTTGTTATGCAATATCATTTTTTAAATGTGATCAGTCGAAAAAAAGTAACGGAACATTGATTATCTACAATTTTTTCGAATTTTAAGAACAGCGTATTTTAAGAATAACCTATCTTGTATTATTTGTATTTCTGTCAGTTGTCTGAATTATTTTGCGTTGACAAAATCTCAGTATTTCTTTTATTTTCACATCATTTAAATGTCATGTTTCAGCTTGAAGGTCCTTACGGTTGATAAAAACTCTCAGTGACATATTTTTTTACAGGTAGGGCAATTTAAATTAATATGCAGAGTATATAACTCTCAAAAAATATTTAAGCAAAAGAAAAGAAGGAAGACTAGGGTAGAAAATAGTAAAGTGGAAAAGTGAAAGGTGGAATGGGAGGAGAAAGAAGAAAAAGCAGCAGGGTGAGAAGAATCTATAGTAGAGAAAGTATTGTAACTTAACAAACCGTTAAATTGTTAAATCTCATACGCTTATTTTTAAATGTGTCTTGTAGGCGGGGCTTAGCTGACCTGGTAGGATGGTCATTGGTTGGTAATATGGCGCGACCATACCGCTAGCAAATGCAGTTATCTATTTGTATACTTATTACCACCAACACTGACACAGATTTACAGAGAGAGAGAGAGAGAGAGAGAGAGAGAGAGAGAAAGAGAGAGAGACAGAGAGAGAGACAGAGAGAGAGAGAGCAAAAGGTTTTCACAGTTTTGATGAGGAAGTTATTAAATTGCGCTCCCCAGTAGCTCACATTGTCAGTGCTAGATCTCGCCAAAACTTCACCGCTCTTCTACTTGTGGCAGTAACTTTATCATGAACACTCTAAATGTTGATTGCTTATTTGTTTAATTTTAACTGAAATTAAATGTTTTAATTTGTTTACTCTCACGTGGCTTGTCATAGTTGTAAATATTTAGAATTACTTTCCAATATCTGCACGTCAAAACCATTTTTATAAAAAGAATCAGTAAGTTGGTTTTTCTAACAATCGATTCTAGATTATCCCACAGCACGTGGGCAGTAGGTTTATAAACCAGCAGCGACATGTTGGATTTCACTTCTCTTTTAACAAATTTTCAATAACAAGAGATTTTAACAGACTTATTTCATTGTTATTTATTAAAAGTATTAATGTTGCTGTGATTTATAAGTCATGAAATCTAAAATAACACGTACATTTATTATCTTCAAATGAACAAAAATGCAAATTTCAAATGTCATTATTGAAACGTCAAATCATTCGAAGATTTTGGCTGACTATTTTAAACTTTAAAAGATTTTTGTAGCATTTTATTAATGGTAATTATGTTCATTAAATTATTAATTCATTTAGTTCATATTTAGACATTTTATCGTTTACGATTCATTCCTGTAGCGTAGCGAATCATCTATTTAAATAATGTTGTAGGAACACGTATATTTTGCAACTCTTAAAATGTTCACAATTAATTACAGATATAAATATTAATAAATGATAATTGATATAAGTCATTTATTAATTCATCACAGAATTATTTTTTCATAAGATTGCATTGTGAAAAGATTTTTTAGCTTGACGTGTATGATTCTGACCAATAAACTCTAAAGTCATGGATTTCCTTCTCCGAGTTACCTTCAAATTAATCATTTATTAGATAAAAACTTTGTGCAAATTCCTCAAATAAATGCTGAAACCTGATAAATTCCGAAAGAAACTTAGGATTCTTTTTCAGTTTCTCGAATATTTCTATTACTTCATGAAAAGCCTCCTACTTTAATTGAATCTATTACTGTTATGGTAAGTTCTTTAATGTATGTAATGAAACAATTTAAAACCTTTCATACGAAAAAGTCACGACGAAGACTTAATCTATTTTATGGTCCAATTTTAACAGAATCAATATTTTCTTTTGAATGGTTATTCAGTTATGCACGATTTCAGTCGATCGAAAAAGTTTAACAATTATATACATAATCCAAATACGAGAAAATCAGTGATTTTTTTCCGAAGTTTTGTAAAAATGTATGAAGTGCACTATACGAAATAAATAAATGATTACTGGCAATGAAGGAGAGGGTATACTTATGTAATGTTCATTGTTGAGACTACATTTTAGCGCGACTATTACATTTTAGCTTGAGTTTCCCTGAATTTTTCAGTTTTCGTAAAAATTCCTCTGCCTATTCTTCAGAGAACAGTCTTTTGCGCATATATTGGATGCAGTAGAATAGAACATTTTTCTCGATCCAGTATAATTTTCTAGCACTATTCAACAATTTGAAACCTCTCTTTTACCATTTTCCTTGCACAAAGTGTCTCTGGTAAAATAAACTTTGTCAATTACCAATATATCATTTTAAATGATTTATAAATAAATTAAAAATTAATTACAATTGCGATTTCTGTACACAATACTGTGCATGCTTCTTTTCTGTCATATAATTTAGAAGGAACTTGTTTCCTAATGGCAACTCTTGTAAGAATTTCATTCTTTACAGATATTATTCAATTATAACCTTTATATTTTATGTTATTTAGCATTGATTAATTTCGTTCTACTTATGGCTAGTAAATTTGAAACCAATTTATTGAAATATCACAAATACAAGTTACATGGTTTATGAAACAGTTCGATATGGATAGCTATTATTTTTCTAAATACAGATATTTATTTATTCTGTTAAGTTCTGAACAACATGATCAGTTTTTATACGAACTATATATTAAATGGATGCAAATGTTTTCAGCGAAAACACGGATTTTAACTTTGTATTCAGTCTGTAGTTTTCAACAAAGAGCACTGAAAACTTTTGAACACACACAATAAAAACTGTAAGATTCAATAAAAGAAACTAACTTCGTTTTTCAATGATCTATTCTGATACCAATAAGCATTTTAGTAGAAGGCAGAGTGCCTCTAGTTTTACGATTTATGTACACGATACAGTGCATGCTTCTTTTTTTGTCATAATTTAAAAGGAGTTTGTTTCCTAATGACGACTTTATAACTGAGTTACTATGCCAAAATTTACAGCATAGACGTACGTAATCTTCTTTTATTTAATTTCATTACTCCTTAAAATATCTATAGTTGCACAGCTATTATTGAACATTCAGGCATACAGAAAAAAGCTTTTTCATGTGTTATATATGTCATCTAGTGAGAACTTGATGCCCACTCAATTGCATTAATCAGTTTCTTTCAATGTGTGAGCAGGATTATTATCTATTGTTATCACTAGTCATCAGTTAATGACATGCGTTGAACAATGGACACTCATAAAACCTGAAAAGTACTTAGCTCAGCTGACTGTCTAACCAGACTACATTACTTTGCATACGAATAAAAAGCAAAACAAAGCAAATTAGTATGAAACTTATGGTCGAATGAAAACTAGTTTACTTCATGCCAAAAGTACATGACTGTCAGACAAGCTTACAGTTACAGAGATAGTAGTGATGTTGGTAAAAGTAGTTTCAGGGCGAGTCCTTACGTTGACCTATTTTTCATACACTTAAAATAGCTCTTACCTATCTACCAACTTTGTTCTCTTTTTATTTGCAAATGTAATCTTTCAATGGCTAATATCTGGCCTCGCGTTTGGTGAATTTTCCCTTACTGCTAATTTTCCCTTTATTACGTAATTTGATCGATAAAAAGTTTGGGGAGACGTAAACTGTGCAGTAATGCAAGATGCAAGAGTATGTGTGTTTGCTAGTGTGTACGCGTGTTTAGCAGACACGCCAAGCACAAGCAGGCAGTCTGCTTCAGCAAAACTCGTTAGGCTCTATGTCTGTGTACATGTGTGTCTGTGTGTGCGCAGTCAGACATCGAGGCCAGACCAGCCAGCCAGCCAGCCACTCAGTCAGTCTAGTCTGTCTGCTTGTCTGTGCCTGTTCGTCAGCCAGTCTGCCAAGTCTGCTAGTCTGGCTGGCTGACTGGCTGGTGGTGGCTGGCTCGTCGTCTAGTCTACTCTCGTATCGTCTAGCCTTAGTCTGCGATCAGTGTTGTTTTGCTCTTCGCTTTACCATTCCAGTAGGTATGATCGTGTGTGCGTGCCTGGTCGCAGACAACCCTGATTTTCGTTGCCAGTCGTAGTACTTTATCTCCTAGAACGTTTTTAATGCTATAATAGCATTCAGGCATTACCTCAGAAGTTTGTCGATCAAACTTTTCTACATAACATTACCAAGAAACCTTCCATGATACTTTAGATTCTGCAATTCTGCATGTGGGTCTTTTCATTGTCTTTTCTTCTATGACACTCAGAAAAATAAATAAAAATAAATAAATAACATAAAAAATTATGGTACCAGTAGATAAAAATCTGTACCCAAATTTTTTTTTTAAACTATCAATTTAAAATATTTGCATTTATATAGGGGTAGGTGGATAGGTGTTTAGAAGAAATATTTCAGATACTTGTACACTACTGTACACATACTACAGACAAATACTTTCAAGAAAATTTAAATATTAAAATCATCTTTAAAAAATAATAACTTTAGGAGAACTAAAAATTGCAGTCTCAGATAATTTTAAACTACTGTTGAAATGTATATAATTGTGTATTATATACCTTTATGGTATCGTAAGTATATTAACCCTGCTTAAGAAATCACTAAAATCAAACTCAACTATTATAATAAGAAATTACAAGAATTAAGTGAACTTTAAAAAACACGTATGCACGATATCCATTCAGTATCTTATTTAGTTATCTTATTTATAGTACAATCACAATAAATCCAGTAAAACAATGTTATTAATTAAGCTATACTATGCCGTAAATGAAGTTCAAAGAGAAATAGATAAAGGCATACTTAATTTTTGTTAGCAAATTATGGGATGAATCGTCTGTTTGTATCATAGTTGAATCCTTTTCCTCTAGTAAAGATTTATTTTACATTGATAGAATTATTTGCCCTTTAAATAAATATAGAAACAACTGTTCATAAAAATTTTAGGTGGTAGACTGAACAAAAACTTCTTATGAGATTGTCTTGTTTAATATAAACAGGCTGGAATTGAAGATGTCTTCTTAACAGAAAACGGCTTGTGGCCTCAGTTATTACTCGACAAACTAGGGGAAAAAAGTCAAAAATAGGTAACACTTGAGGAAAAATGGCGATTTTAAAACAATCGCGGGCATTTATATATAACATTGAATAACCAATAACAACAAAATTCTTGGATGATTGAAGATTGCTATTTATATGTTTGAAACATTTTCTTTCTTCTCAGATTATATATATATATATATATATATATATATATATATATATATACTGATTATATAACAGTCACAGCAAATAGAAGCAAAAGTGGTTGAAATTTTAAAAACATTCTACGACTGTCTAAATGGAGATTTAACTTCAATGATTACAAAAAGAAATTAAAACAAGGAAAGCTGAACATCGAAAGAGATATCAAGGAAGAATATAGTTAAAAAAAAAGTAATCTGTTAGTCAACTGAGCCGAAAGTAAACATATTTGCATTACCTTTACACACAAGCACACACATCTATATCTATCTATCTATCTATCTATCTATCTATGAAAAGACAGAATATGAGGTAAAATTAAAACTGTACTTATTTCTTCATCGGCATGAAAGAATATCACGCAATGCAAATTTTTTCTAAACTAAAATGACTAGCAAACTCATCAAAGTTTTAAGGCATTTTCAATACAATTGTTAGTTATTTTTCTTGCTGTAATCACACCAAATCAATAAACAAGTTTTACAGTGAATGCGTATATCTGATAACGAATCTATGAGCATTTATAACGATTAACTTTAAGTGATTGCTTCATATAAAGTCGAATGAGCTGCATTTCTCTATTTAAAGCAATATTTGATTGCATACATAGGAATTACACAGTAAATAGACACGTAAGATAGTTGAAAAAAAGAGAATGCTAAATACGCTAAATTTAACTGAATATAAATTAAAGAAAAGAAACATGCAAAAATATAAAGCGGAAACAATATATTTTATAGATAAATGATATAAAATAATGAAATTTCAAGAAAATTATTGAAAATTACCAAACTACATACGCACAATTCCAGTATTCAATCAAATATATGTGATATAATTAATAAATAAAAGTTGCTCTAGTTTGTTAGTTATTAATGGAGAGAAATAGGAACTAAGGCACTGAGAAGGTTAACCTCTTCCTTTTTTCTCGAAATTTCAAAAGTAAACAGCTACAATATATATTATTTAATGTGTATTAATACATGTAAATTACATGGATTATAAAAAAGCTAATAATGATAGCAATTTAAGTTTCAGTTATATATTTATGTCTTTAATATTGGGATTGATAGTGTATGAGTGGATCATATGTTATAAGAGCTAAGAGTAAATATGAAAGACAGTATGAGATTTATATCTATTTTCATTAAAAAGAAAGAATTATTTCCTTTACAAAGAAAACTGACATATGATAAATTATCTTCACCAAATTAAGTTCTGTTACAGAGTTTTGAAGAATTGCCAATCTAGATACTCGATCTTATGCATAAAGTAAACTTTTTATGCAAAAAACTGAAATAAAATGTATAACATACACGCATCACCTATATTTAAGATAATTATAAGTTGGTAAGATTAAAAAAACTTTGATAAAATGAGAAGTACAAATCTATAAATGTAATAATAGAGTTAAAAAAAGGAATTGAAATAGATCGATGAGCTGGTAGATAATTATGCGCTTATATGAAGTTTTGAAGCGATTTAAAAGGGATAATTACACCTTTAAAATGGGTGATAAAGAAGATAATATCATATACTTTAGCTAAACTTTACATTAAGAGCATTTGCATTTAATTGAAAAAGAAAAACAAGAAGCAAATTATAAAAGTTAATTATACAACATGCGCTTCTGGTTGCATGCATATATAATTGAGTTTGTATATCGACAGATTGAGGTAGAAGTATATATTGAAATATGAGCATAATGAGAGTAGATTCAGAGAGAGAGAGAGAGAGAGAGAGAGAGAGAGAGGAGAATATAAGTTTTATAACTGAATAAAATATTTGATTCTAATTTAGTATCAACAGAGTAAATGGGAGGAACTGGATTTTAACTTTGAAAAGGAACAGAAATTGATCCGAAACTACTATGGAACAAAACGCTGTATGTTTACTCATCCTAATGAGAACAACGCATGAATAAACCGAAACGAAGCGGTCGTAGTAATAAATAGTAATTTGTTTTTGCAAAGTTTCGCCCGATCTTTTATATATATATATATATATATATATATATATATATATATATATAATTTCTTAGATTTCTTTTTGTATTTCTCGGTCAATTTGAAATATGAGCAAATAAAATGTGACTCATCATTCTTTCTCCTCTCTCTGTCACGCTCTACCCAACACATCACAACCGATCGTTTAGAAAAAAAAATTACTCAATCCTTCTTTACTTACTTTCCAATGGGAGCTGATATATCAAATAACGCGTCTGGCACAACGACCTGTGAGAATTACAAGATACGTAACTTCTCCCAATTCAGCAAATACTGTTCTAAGGCAGTCGTTATCGTCAGCATCATCATCATCATTGTTGGCATGCTCGTTTGCCTTTCTACCCTTTCGTCATTTCTGCCACTATCTTTGCCGCATGGCCGTCGTTAGTGTCTTACTGCCTCGCTTTATTTATTGTAACTGCAAACGTGTCCTTTCTTATTTCTTCATATTTATATAGACTCACAGCAGAATTCACTCACTGTTTTTTAGTTTATGTCTTTACTTTTACTTTTACTCGATTCTATTGCACCACCAACCATAATAATTGTTTAAACAATGTGAATATTTTAAATGCTTCACTGTTACAAGCACGGGCAACATTGCACGTACATGTGTATCTGTATGTATGTGTTTGACGAAAATTGAATGATAAAAGAGAAGATGGAAAGTGACTAAATTATCATCCACAACAGTAGCACATTTCTAATAATTCCTGCTACTGCTGCTGCTACTTTATGTGAACGAGGGCGCCATGGCGCCCGACTCTTTCTTCAAACCTTCTTATCTTTCTTTGTTGTATATTATGAGCAAATATTTTCCTTTTTAATATCAACGAATACTGAACATAATATATCATTAGCATATGACTTTGAGATCAATTCATGATACACTTCTTTGTTGTTATTACAAAATTATGTATTTTAAATTATAAAAAGAAATAAAGAAAATAACAAAGGGAATATTATTAGAGACGATAATTTTAATATATTTTCCATATTGTTAACAAACATATTTTGCCTGCACATTTTACACATGAAGTTGTAGGTTCCACGTTGATTAGTGAACGGGCTTACTCATGTGCGTGTGCTGTAAAACTACTGATGACGGGAACGAATCAATAACGTACGATAACATAGAAAGTAATGCAAAAAATGATGGTACGATAGTTATACCGAGAGGTTTTTATTGATGGTGGTGCAAAGTATTGTCTTAATGTTTTAGCTAAAGGGTTCTTTTAAGGACATTGCATATTCTTTTAAGGACATTGCAAATTCAAGGTTATCAAAATCAATGAATGATGAATTATGTAAAAAAAAAAAAAAGAACAACAATAAGAATATTTGAACGAAAGCAAAATTGATTTTAAATTTCCTTGTGAGGCACTTCTCAGTGTGTAACCCCTGACCTTGTACTTTTCAGTTTTCTTTCCACTATGCCACCATGACCTCCTATGAAAAGAAATGAGCAAAAATGGAGGAAGAATTGAAAATATTGATTGAAAATGCCGAGATGATTATGGAAAATAAAGAGAATTAAAAGAAAAAATAACGCAGCGGGTAGCATTAAAAGACAAGAAAACATCTACATATTCTTGTGTCTTTTGATTTTTGAATATAGAGAAGAGTTCTGCATAATTTCCTCTTTTATGTTGCTCATTAATTCTATAGAATTAATGTTAATTTCTTTTTGGTTAGTTTACTCATGACACTAGTTCTGATAATACCGACCGATAGGGACCAATATCAAGTGATACAATGGGTGTAAGGCAGAAAACTGGCGTGTAAGAGTATAGATAGAAATAAAAGGGGGAAGTATGAGACAACAGTAACGAATTTAAAAAGCGAACTGCAGCAAGAGAAACAGTGACATATGCAGGAGAGGAAGTATAACTGGAGGTGTTATAAAGAAAGATTGTTTCTAATGCTACAGCCTCTCCTATATTGTATAGTGATAATTATTATCAGAGGTACGCGATAAAAAAAAAGTAAAAAACAGTATACAAATATGAAGAGTGAAAAGAAGATAATTGAAATATAAAGGAAAGGAAGGTTGGGTGCAAGTGTAGAAGCAGCAGCAATATAAATAGAGGGGGAGGCTGTAGGAAACGCAATATGTGCAGCTGAGTGATAATAATGGTGATGATGTTGGTAGTGCTGACCTCGTCAAGTTCTTTTTCGGCTGTACACAATGATCATGACGATGACGAAAACGAATAGCAACGGTAAATTCAAAGACGAAGACAACGTTAAGAAAACGGAGAGAGCAAGAAGTGGTGGGGGTTAAAAGAAGGTGAAGGCTTGACAACGACAATAAAACTCACTTGTCCGCCCGTCGTTCTCCTTTTCCTTTGCGATCAAATTCTCCTTACATTCCCTGGTCGGAATAGTGTCAAACAAGGCGTGGCCAAGAAGCTAACGAAACTTTCTCTAATAGAGAAAAATGTGTAAGCCATTTCCCTGTTGGTTGATGGTTGAGTTGCACCGTTAAGAGGATTCTTGTGATTGGTCAAAACAGTGAAGGTGTCAGTCGTATGCTGGTTCGTTATTTATGGGTTAATTTATACGGGGGCGGTCGAGCACTGGGCGGGAGCGGTTTGTTTAATCCAACAACTATGTATGCTAGAGGGGTAATGGTAGAATGTCATGGTATACCGCAACATCCATCTAATGGCACGACAGTAGGTAGAGTTCAGGCAACACATATATGTACAAAACACACACGTGCACGAAAGCACACACGTACACACACGCACGCATACTGTCGTAACTTGGCAACTGTCGTAGACCAACTTGTATATGACTGTCGCTCAAATAATGGAATGTGTTTCAGAGAATTAGGAGCAAACAACGATAGCACGTGCAGGACAGAGAATCTGCTTCACCATCATTATTATCATTGATAGTAGTAGCTGTACTCCTATCGTTAGAGGTGATAAAATGTACTTTAAGATTTCTTTAACTCTAACAAATGAAGACTTTTTTTAAAAATTTACACATGAAAATATGGTATCAAAAGTATGTGGACAAAAGAATGTTAGTATTCGATATTTATTATTTCGTTATTAGAAAATGTATGCGTCAAAAATTCAGGGAAGGAGTTTGAATAGCATTCCCAAACTTCAAAATGAAGAAGAGAGCCCAACTAGAGAAAGATGCATGAAGGTGGAAAATAACTTTTTTGGAGGAATATGATTAGTTAAGAGAAGAATTAGCCGATAGCGATGATAAAAATATAATTATTATGATAATGCTTCTGATGTTGATGATGTACTCAAAGAACTAACGGATGAAAATATGAGGTAATTGAAAATGACGTATCAGAAAATAACAAGAAACAGTTGCCAGTGTATAAACGAACGCAGACACAATTTAGTTGACAGAGGTTGAAAGAGAGAGAGACGGAAGAGGTAGAAGGAAGAACTTAAACATATCCTGAAGAAAATGAAGAATAGAATAAATGAAATAAGTTGTTAATAATATTGAAGAGAAACTGAAAACAGATTAAAAATTCATGGTTCAACATGAAAGAGAGAGAGAGAGAGAGAGAGAGAGAGAGAGAGAGAGAGAGAGAAAAAGAGAGAGAGAGAGAATAAATATTTCTCATAACATCATTTTAAATCCTTTTTACGTACCTTATTGCTGTGGAGAATATGTAGTAAATCTTGTCAACATCCGTAGATTTAGAAAGAAAAGTTGGAAGTGTCTATAATATGAAGCTATAAAAAAGATCACTTCCCATTTTTTACGGTGTCTTAATGGCGCGGTCATTGAAGAAGAGGTCGCAAGATAGTTTTCCATTTAGCGTCACGTGTTCGTACATTGTTTTTTTCATGACAACTATTTTTGTGGTATTTTTCAGCCACAACATATATTCTACTTTGTCAAAATAAGTTTAGAGTGCTAGGACAAAACTTTAATAATATCCAGCATCCAAACGTGTGTGTATGTGTATGTGTGTGTTAAAAGAGAGAGAGAGAGAGAGAGACAGACAGACAGACAGACAGACAGACAGACAGACAGAGAAATTATGAAATTGTGCAAACGTTTTGTTGGTCGTTAAGACATGTTATAAAGGATGACGAACCTCTTTGAATTTGTAAGAAGAATAAATTTCCGAGAACATCTAAATACTTCTGGCAATATTCCACTGCGTGTACCTTTTCTTCTGATAGGCTCTCAATTGCTCCCTTATTTACTTTCTAAAAAATAATAAAAAAGGTGAAATACAAGCGAACTGGTTAGCAGGCAAAGCAGCTACAAAAGTATTTCCATCCATCATTCCCGTTGCTCGCTGATTCTTTCCAACAAGTTTCGTCATGTCCAGTCCATTTGTGAGAGAAAAGAAATAGCTTTGAAAATTGTCTTTTTTTTTTGTATTGCTATTTTTATGAGTGACAAATTATTTTTGCTTTCGACATGCAAACATATACATACCCGCATTAACATGCACACTCATACAAATAACACAGGCAATACAATGATATGGATGATAGTAGCATAAACAATAACCACATATCAGGGAATGTGTATGCTTGCATATATGTACGTATTTGTCGTGTGCATACATACGTATTTCTATACACACTCATGCATTCATAAAAATGAGCCAAGTAAATCCTTTTTTGGGGAGTATCCTGTCATCTTATATACACATGTATTTTCCCTTCTTATACCGCCTTCTCTTTTCGTAACTCCTCTTTTTTAATATATAGTGTGCTTTTTTTTTTGCTTTTTTTCAGTGCTACCACTACCATCGTCATTATATGGTCAGCAATTATTTGTATGCATCAAGAAGTTAATGTAGTTGCACTGATTGTAACATACCCGTCGTGACACTGCTACCCAACGTTACTATTAGTTCTACTACTACCATTGATAAGAATAACGATGATGATGATCCTAATAACAAGAGACTGAGTGACGTTGTAATGTTGGGCAAATAGTCACATTCCGTTCCAAGAAGAAATTCTAAAGTGTCGGCTCCACGACGATAGCAGCAAAAAGTGAATGTATTCATCATGTTAGATCTTCTCTTCTTGTGCCGGCCGCTGATTCGTTCACCGTCTGCCCATGCGCTAATGGACAACTACTAACTCTTCATCTCCCCCTCTATCTTTTTCTCTTTTCTTCCTTACCCCACTCTCTCATTGGTTTCTTTTTTTCTTCTTTATTTTTAAAAATCTTTGACTCTCCTTTTACCACTTCTATTGCTCACTCATTTAATTAATCAATTTATCAATCAATCAATCGCTAACTCTCTACTTCTCTTCATCTCGTTTCTTCTGGATCGTTTTTTTTGTATTTGGTACTTTCCTCTCTACCTTTCAAATATCAGTTTTCTTTTCCCTTTTTTGCGTATCTGTACTCCATCTGTTACTGAACATTCTTATTTTTATATTAATGGTCAGCCTTGCTTTCAAAGCCTTTATCGCTCTTGTCTACTTTATCATAACATTCTGTTACAATCTTTACTAGCTTAAAGAACAAACAGAACATTCACAAATCCCCCCACACACGCAGAGTATTGTATGGTTCTGGTCCATTAACAACAACACACACACACACACACACACACACACACACACACACACACACACACATATATATATATATATATATATATATATATTAAGCATTGTCTGAATATCATACAGTGTCCTAGACTCTAATAATTGTTATTCAATTTATCTTTCAATTTGTCTGTTCTCAGTCATGCTTAGCTAATTCATTTAATATTAGTTTTATTTGGACAGCACAATAAAAACCTTGACGTATTTGTAGATATCAAAATTTACAGTTTAGTTTTACTTTCATTAATAAGCGTATATGCTAGTATAAAATTACATTTTTCTTCACTACTTCTATAAGAATTTGTGTCATACCTCCATCACTTTCATACACCTTGAAAACCATGTTTTAACCTAAATCTACTGATAAGTTTTTCAGCTATTTTCTCTTTTCCTAACTAAAATATTGTTTTATTTTATCAATACGAAATCATCAAATAATATAATTTCACTTCACCGTTTTGAAATAATTTAGTCTTTAATAATCTGAAACTATACCTTTATCAAAAGACCGATAAGCGATCAACAATTTTTACAATGGAATATTTCGATACGAGTTAAAAGATATTCTATAATATCAGAATTAAATGTATATTTTGTAAACAAACATTAAAATTATATGAAAGTTTATCTTTCTTTATAAAAATATGACCTATAAATAGAAAAACATTTTAAAAGGATCAACCTAAAATGTACAATTGCCACATTCTTTTTACTTGATAACGTTTTTGTCCTACTGTATTTGTTAAACAATTCCTTACTAAGATGAAATACTTCCATATTTTTATGTCTATCAAGTCATACAATATACATTGTCAGAAATTAAATGTCCATTACTATAATTTCTATTATGTTGCAATTTGTTTAGAAATATGTTATACAAGGTCAGGGTTTCTTTTTTCTAAATTTTCTAAAAAAAAAAAAAGAAAAATAAAGAAAAAAAAAAAGACAAATTGTCTGTGCTTTTAGAATAGATAAATATGCTCATCTAAAAGAAGGCAAACTATTCCATCAAACAAAAAAATAAATTTTCTAATGAAACAGAAAAATTGAAAAATACTTAAAAAAAATATCCATGAAGACCACATTATTTGTTTTTACTCAAATCTCCATGAATAAAAGAAAAGAAACATTTAGATAAGGATACATAGCCTCCTTCACATTCAAATAATAAACACAGAAATGTCAACGTGAAAGAACAGATTGACGATCGATTTGAAATACTCACGCGCACATTATATATATATATATAAACTCATAATAAAAATGAAAAATGAATGTTTAGGAAGCTGATTCGTGTATGTATGTATGCCAGAGTTCATATATATATATATATATATATATATATGACTCTGTGTGTGTGTGTGTATGTATGTATGTATGTATGTATGTATGTGTGTATGTATGTATACAAGCTGGTAATAAAAAGTACTCGGCCTGACCAACATTCTTACCTAACCAAATGACCAAACATTAGAACTTTGCTTTGCAGGAAGGGATTCTTGATTGAGGCGAGAACTCTTCTTCACGTCCTCGTACATATATTACATTTTGCATTATATTAACTTTGAGATGGACATTGGCATAATCAATAATGTTTATTTTTATTAAAAGATGGTATAGATTTATATTAATAGAACTAGCAGTTATAAATGAATCTAATGAATGTCCTTGTAATTAAAGTCACCTCTTTTAGGACCATTTGATTCAATGGTAAATATATTTTGATAAAAAAAAACTGTATACAGTATTATAATTTAAATTAAATATGCTTTGTTGCATATAATTGGGTAGATTATTTTGATTGGGAGAAAATGCTTGTGCACACACACACACACACACATATGTAAACACATATACACATATATATCTGTATGTATGCGTTTATCTGTATATATAAATGTACATATATTTTGTATAAACATATCTATCTATCTATCTATCTATATATCTATCTATCTATCTATCTATACACACATACACATATATATATGTGTGTGCGTGCGTGTGTGTGTGTGAAAATATACAGTAATATTCATGGACACGTGAACAAAAGTTATATAAGTTGTAAGCAAGTGGTATAAACTATTTTTTTTAATTTTCGCGTATAAAAGTGATAATAGTCAATTAATATTTTGTGATATGTACACACACAATGTTTGCGTGTACGATTGCTTTATTTACGTTATATATTTTAGTGTTCGCATAGGTATTTTGTGTAACACAGATGTCTTATTTCGTGCATTTCTAATTTTGAGACTTAAATTACTGTCACTTTGCATCCACTCAAATTTTATTTTATGATTGTTACTGCACTTCTAGCTGACATCGCTCAAGAGACTGCGAATACAAACATGTTAGCATTGAATGCAACCCTCAATGCAACGGGAACCGGCAGGAATATATATCTTAATCTTTTCATTGACTTTCCAACCATTCAGACCATACTTTCGGAGGCGGTGACGTTGTTTCTGTCATTTTTTCATTTTTTTTAGTAAGTGAAATAGAACAATTATAAAGTATTTTTGTTTTCGACTCTTAACCGACTCTTACGTTGGTGAAAATATAAAATCATTAATTTATATCACTGTTAGTTAAGTGATTATTGCTGTCAGTGCTTTAAGTCATATAATATGTGCGCTTCCATATTCAAAAAGAGACATGCGAACATATAGAGACTTTTTTTCTATTCTCGTATATTATGAAGCATTTCCATTGAGGAAAGCATATCCCATCTGCAGGTGCTATCTCTTTATTTGTATCAGTTTTAACTGGTTCAATTCAATTTCATTATATAATCTTATGCAAAATGAAATCGATTATTGAATCGAATACAAAGTGTATAAGAAATTTGAAGCAAAACAATAGAATACTTTCTTCATGAGTCTAAAACATCGAAAAATATACAAGAAATTAAAAAATAATCAGTTTTAAATATGGAAGAATACAGTTAAGAAATAAATAACATAAAGTAAAAAGCGAAGTATCTATGCTTAATTCTCGCGACTTTTTGTATGTGCAGATATGGAGATGTCTA